ATAACATAGAAATAATATTTATGTAATAACTTATATGTATTGAGTTTGAATTTTTTACTAAAATGTTATTTTGTTATGTTTAAAAAAATGATTGGGTGAAAAAATAATTAAAGAAAGAAGAGATGAAACAAAACAACTATATATTATATAATAAAAAATTAGTAGATTAATTAATAATCAAAAAGTCTGGATGTGGGTATAATAAAATACAAAATGATTCAATAAAAAATGTAATTTTTATAATTTATGACATAAATAATGTGTATGTTGTGTTATAATTATTTTGCTTTGCTCGGTTGTAAATATTATTTGTGTTTACTAATTTATAAATGCAAATCATTTTTTCATTAAAAAACTTTCTTTAATGTGTTTTTTTAATATCTTAAAGAGATTAACTAATTATAAATCTGCCAATAAATAATTATGATAAATCATTAGGTGTAAATAAAAAATTTAGTTTTAATATTTAATCCTTTATATTTTCAATATATTTAAAAATATTTTTTAGATGTATGTTAAAAAAATAAATAAAAATATCCAACTTTTTAAGAAAAAACAAATTACAATGCAAAACACAGTTATACAACTTTCATTTCAAATGTTTTTATTTAAATTTTAACTTAAATTTTGAAAATAAAAATAAATCTTAAACAATACGAGTTTTTGATAACTTTAGCATCAAATAAGTTTATATTGTTAAAAAAGTTTTAAGAATTTTAAATACTGTTATATATAATTTTGATAAAATAATAAAACGAGAAAAAGAAATTATATGAATTATAAGAATAAAGATTTTAAACAAATCAAAGGCGTTCAACAAAATAGTAGTTGATAATATTTTTTAAAAATAATTTATAATTAAAAAAGAAGATTATATTTATAAAAATATTTTCAAGTCTTTAAACCTAGCAGCGTATAGACCATTAAAAAATCTTTTATTATTGAAAAGATATTATTAATGAATTTTTATGCGAAAAACCATTTTTAAATAATGATAAGTATTAGAAAAGAGTACTGTAAGTGATAAATTAAAAATTAATGTTTTCATATTATAAGCGTAGTTTATGTTAAAAGATATATGATAAAAGGCATGTTAAAAAGATTTTTTGTCTTAATAGTAAAATTTGCTAGTTTTATCATTCTTTTTCAATGAAAGTATTGGTAGAACACAGATTATGTAAGAAAATATAAAAGTATTTAGGCATATACAAATTTTAGATCAAATTTTTTAATAGGTTTTGATAAATTTATATGAAAAAATAAATTTACTTCTTAAAAATATAATCGTCTTAATTATAAAATTGTAGTGGTTGAAAATTATAATCAGATTAATTTACAATTTTGTTATTTAAGTATTTTAAAAAAATATTTTTAAATGTCTTTCATTTGTGATATAATTTCTAACTAAAAAATATCTTTTTAAAAAAACGTTTTATTTAATACAAAATATTTCTCTCTTAAATTTTAAAAGATTTTCAATTTTTTTTGGTAATAAACTAGAAGGTTTTTCACACACCTTTTTTGGTATTTTATACTATCAATCTAAGCTAATTTTTTTTATATCATAAAAATTATTTGTTCTTTTTTTATAAACCTAAATCTTTTAAAATCATTAATTGAAACAGTTTACTTTTTGGATCATTATCTTGTTAAAAAATAAAAAAAATTACCAATGTTTAATTTTTTAACAGATGAATATAAATTTTTGTTAAATTTTAATATATAACAAAGCTGTTATATTTCCTTTTATTATTTATATATTTTTAACACCGTTGATGAGAAGCACTCTTATAGCTATAAATTTTCTATGCTATGTTTAATAATATGATTTAAATATTTTTCATCACATTATTTATCGTTCAATCTTTTAATATAAACTATAATATCTGAACCTAATAGATTATTTTATTTTTATATGCCTCAAAACTTTCTTTTAATAGTCTATAGTATCTCAAAGATGTTTTTTGTATATATGAATCTCAATCTTATGTTTTTTTTAAACCGAAGAAAGTTTTTATGATTTATAAACCTTAATCATTGTAATTTAAGACTTATATTTTTGGTATTACTGTTTTTTTTATTCAACAATATATTAAGCTCTTTAGCTATTTTAAAAACCTATTTTCTTATTTTCATTTGTTTTATTCCCATTAATATTAATTTATGATTTATTAAAGATCATATGATGCACTAATCTTTTTTATTGATATTTTCATAAATTTATACTTTTTATTGTTCAAAAAGGTTACTTTACTTATATCAAATTTTTTTATAATTTTATACTCTAGCTTCTTTAAATATATCTATCTTTATTCTATCTTCCTTAGTAACATATTTTACTCTTAGAAAAATATTATAAAAATATATAAATTGTTTAAGATAAAATTGAAAATTTTTTATAAATCTCTTTTATTCTTTATACTTTTAAAAATTTTTAATGGTATATTTTATATAAATACTTTTTTGTAAGATGTTATTTCGCAAATTAAATTCAATCAAAATGGTTTTAAAACCAAAACTTTAATTTAGTTTTGTTTTTATTTTCCACTACTGTAAATAAAAGAATAACTAAAAACAATTCTTCTTTTAGCTTATCAAAAATCTTTCACAGTACAACAATTATTTACAATCAACTCGGTAAATTAAAACTATGGTAAATACCATATTTCTTTTTATCATATGAATAATCTTTATAATCAATTATATAATCAAATCTTATCTGAATTTTGTAATTAATAAAACAAATAAATATTAAATTTATTAATCAATAATCTCTTTTGTAATCTGTTTTATTAAATAGTTTATCATTTTTATAAAATAAACAGTTTTAATCAAAAGTGTTTTTATAAAAAAATTATTTAATAAAATGTCTTAGTTGTATTTTGTTTAAACCCTTGTTATAAACAACTAAATTTTTCCAAAAAGAAGAAATATTTTTAGTATTAAAAAAGCGAGTTGGATGATAAATATTTAAAAGTGTATGATAAGGTTCTTAATCTTTCAAAAGTTCTCTGTAATGATGGATTATACTATTGTTCATGATGAAAAATTGATTTGATTTTATTCTCAGTATATACAGTTTTTAATTGTCTTAGAGATATTTTAAATTCTTTCCATAATATTGCTTTGACTGGTGCTCAAAAGAGTTTAAGCGTCACAAATAATATACAATATAAGACACATAAAAACATAAATATTAAAAGTTTACTTTAAAAACTTTTAGAAATATAATTAAAAAATAAATAAATAAATAAATTATTTAATTTTTAAATTTCATATTTATAATAGAATAATTGAAAATTTTTAATAAATAATAAAAAACAATAAGAAATATAAAATAAAATTAATGTTTTTAAAGTTCTTATTTAGCCTTTATAACATTTTCTATTCTCTTAAACGTATCATTTATAGAGTTTACACACAAATTAATATCTATATTTAAAAACATTCTTTTAATATTTTTTTTCATTTCATTAATAGTATTAAATTTTATATCTTTTAATTTTTTTAACTATGACTTATGAGTTTTTAATTGGGTTTAAATCAGATGACTAAGATGCTCAATCTATGTATTTTATATTATTAGATTTTAAATATTCTTTTGTCAGATTACTTTTATTTTTAGAATCATTATCTTATAAATCTTTAAAATTTTTCAACACATGTCTTTGAAAATTGGTGAATTATTTTCTACAATTTCTACATAGTACAATACACCCATGTTTTTATCTAAAAAAAATCCGCCAATATCTTTAGAGAACATATATCCCCTAATCATTATTTTTATTTTACCATATTTAATTATTTCATTAACAGGGTTTTCTTAAATTTAACTACTCATGTTTTATATTTTTCAAAGTTATTATACATTAAAATCGCTTCATCAATAAATATAACATCATTATAATTATCTTTACTTACAAAATAAATTTAGCTAAATTTAATCTTGCAATTTTATGAGTTTTAGATAATTTTGGTTTAAAAACTGGTTTAATTCTACTACAACCTAATTCCTTTTTTCTCATTGTTCTATTGAATATTCATATATATAATTTCTAAATACTTTATTTAATTATTGTGCTGAAAATTTTTTATTTTTTACCTTTTTAACTATTTCGTAATCACTTTAATCAAGCTTTTAAAATTTACCTGTACAAATTTTACGACTTGTTATACTATAATAATATTTTGAAATGATAAATTAACAGGAAGATAATGAAATATTAAACTTTTATGATATTTGTTTATATCTAAATTTATAATTTTTTTAATACTATTACATATTTTTAAAACATTTGAAAAATACTTACCCACTTCTAAAATATGTTTTTTTTAAAAATATATAATTATGAGGATAAAAAATTTCATAAACTTATTACATTTTTCAACGTCTTATTTAGAATTTTTTTTTAATTTACATAATACTATTTAATACGAGCAAATTTTTATTTTTCAATACATAAAACTTCTACTATACTTTTTACACATTATTTTTCAAAACAAGATTTAAAACAAATCTTTAAAAATAAGTAGTTTTGAAATTATATTTTATTTTTTTTTATATTCTTCATACTAAATATAGGATTTTTCGATCAATACAATAATCATTGTAATCAATTAAATATAATAAATTTTACACATGTTTTTTACAATCAATACAATAATCTTTACAACCATTTGAATAACTTTTGTAATTAATTACATAATCATATTCTCTTCAAGATTTACAAAGATACAAAAATATTGAAAAAACTGAGTAAAAATAAAACTAAATTAATTTATAAAAAATCTCTCTTGCCACAGATCTCATTGATATCCTGGTATTTTTCGATAAAATTATCCACAATGATCAAAAGTTATTTTATCAAAAAATTCTATAATTAGAAGTCCCAATTAAGATTCATTCAAAGCACCCTAGTACACAACTAAATTTTTAAACAGAAAAACTATTTTCTATTGGATTTAGAAAAGGTGAGAAGTAGCAAAAACTTTAGTGTATACTAAAAAAGTTTATTATCTTCTATAAGTCCTCTATAATGATGGATTCTGTTATTATCCATTATAAAAACAAAAGACTCAATTCCTTTCTTATTATAAACAGCCTTTAATTCTCGAAGAGAAAATTTAAAACCTTCTATGTTTACTACTCTTTTGTGAACTTTATAGAAAATCATTCCATATTTGTTCATTACTATCACAACAGAAATATTTCTGCTTCTGTAAGTAGAGACAGTGTGACATGCATATTAACCTATTATAAACCTGCCCCTACTTGGGTGTGTTACCGCCAAAAACACTACCTCATCGACAAATACTAAGTTTTTATCTTCATTCTCTGCTTCCAGAGTACGATATTCATACTCGTAATTAGCTCTTGTTTCAACAGTACTTTGACTATTTCAACGGTCAGGGACTAATATAATTCGTTTTAAAGTGTAGTGGAATTAACAAAGACATCGATCAATTTTACTGATTGATAAGTCGATGTCGTAAATCTCAATGTCTTTTATTCTTAAATCTTTTAATTTAAGAATAGGTTCATCATCCACCCAGATAAGAATTGCTTCTTTTTTATCTAAACTAAGTTAAGAACGCCTTTCACCACCACGAAATTGTAGCAATAGCTTACCAGAAGCATTATAGCGTTTAATAATACTATTTACAGTCTGGTAAGGCATTACTAATATTTTACTATGGCACGAACCGAGTAACCTTCAAGTGACTTAGTAACTATTCTTTGTCTATCATCATTAAAGACAATTTTTCGTTGCCTCTTTAATTCAAATTACTACCCCTTACCAGAGCTGCCATTGTTCCTGTTTCATTAACTTTACATACCGCATTCACCTCGCTAACTTTATATACTGTATCTGTTTCACTAACTTCTTTTATCACATTTACTATTTTTAAATAAATGTTTAAATTTCTTTGACTTATAATGGGCATAAATTTTTTAAATTTTTTTCGTTTTATGTGTTGTATATCCCGAAGAAAATATGATTATGTAATTAATTGTAATAATTATTCAAATAGTTGCAACGATTATTATATTGATATAAAAAGCTTATATATATTTAAATTTTAAAGACTCTTATGATTTATGAAAAATTAATGCAAATACTAGGGAAGGAAGAATTCTCATTAACCTTTCTAGAAGATTCTAGTTATATTAAACAAATAATTGAGAATTCGTGTAAGTTTTCTGGCAGTAAAAGACTATTTATAAAGTCTAGGAGAGGAGTCAAACATATGCATTTCTTTCTTTAACACATGTCGTATCAAAGAGAATATACACTCTTCGATAATACCTTCTTTTGTTATATAGAAGGAAAACACGACATCCTACATTTGTTCAGACACTTATAAAGCTAATCTTTCTTTATTTTGAGGATAAGACCGTAAATACAGTATTTATCAAAAAAGTGACTACTTAAAAAAAGATTAAATAAACAATATTAAATGTTTTGATAACAAAATACATAAAAAACACGTATTTTAAAAAAGTAGCAAAGAATAAATAAAAATTATACTTTAAAGGTTATTTATAAAAAAACAAGATTGTTCAAACAAAGTGATTAGTTTTAAATGTAATACTTAGTGTTATGTCTTTTGTTTTAAAAAACCTCTAAACAACTTT